TCAACGGGGGGAGTTTGTGGAATGAAAATTACGCTCGAGCAGATTGCTTTTAGTTTCTTTAAGTCGACTGACCGGATGTTAGTCCATTCGTATAATAAGATCCGACAAGAACGGACTACGTACATGAACTCGAGTCCCATTTATCAGTTTGAAACGAGCGTGTTAAAATACCACATCATAAATCTTTAATCAGCGAAACGGAGCGAGGTGTTTTGCGAACATGCCGTTCAAAGAAGTGTATTAGTGCATCAAAGTAATGATTTGAAGCAATATTTTGCGGATTGGGTACTAGCAACCGTGATAAATTTGGGTGAATGAATGCCATTATTGAAATACTCTGTAATAAGCAGTATATGAATAACCGGAGAAAATTTCCTGGAGGCAGACAACCGGCTTCGCAGTGATTGTCACCCATTCGGCAATCTTTCATCTATCTGGTCATTCATATACCTGAACCCCTGACGTACATTTGCGTCACAAATCTGTAATCAGCGACACGAGGATATTCTGAGCGTTTAGTGTGAGCCGGGTACAAAAAACTCGATAGGAGAAAGAGAAGCTTTCAGATTAGACTTACGGGAATGTCGGGACAATATGGGTCGAACGCGTGCAGTAGATCTGTCCGCTGAAAGTTTCTATAGACAAAAAAGAGAGAAAAAAAATATCTTGAAGGTAACTCAATTCGCCCCAAATATCAATACGTTAGTCCTCGACGGCCTGAGGGCAATGCATTTAGATGAGTATGAGTGTGGGCGAGTGTGTGGGTGTGAGCGAGAGGGGGTGAACGGGAGAAGCACCATGAAGTGAGTCAAAGAAAATAAAAGTAGGCAGGGAATCTACACACAGGATGCAAAGCGCAGTTCCGGTTCGACAGTACGCGTGCAGTAGGGATAAGTAGTTCTTGTTTATTTTAATTGGTGTCTGACGCACACAAAATAAGTGAACGGAGTAAGGCGAAGGCTGAGAGAACTCGGTGAGATTGTATGAATAATGTTTTGCTGTGCAATCAGGATTGGATTAGCGCTTCATGTTTCGCGGTGTTGAGGATTCAACCAAAGTAGATAAATCGGGTTTCGCACACAGGAAATAAGAAAAGACCAAAATAAGGAGTTCTAAGAAGTTCAGCTGTTCCACTTTGATTTTTAACTTTTACCGTAATGCATTTGATTCTATCTAGAGGAGTAAAACCATCACAACCGGAGGCCTGGACACCAAGTGCGGGTGCCGAAAAAGAGGGAAACCCACACGCCACACAGTATACGTGGAAAAAGAAACGGGTGAGTAGATGACCGAACCAACCAACTTACTTGGACCAACCTAATGGTGATGACGATGAGGATAAGCGGGTAAACAGGTTCACATATTTGGATGACAGTGTCTGATTCTGGGGACTAGGAAACCTTTTCAGTTGGATCTCAAGCAATGTGTAAAGCAAGCTCCAAGTCAAAATAATTTCCGAAATCATATGTGATAGATACCAATCTTCGGCTACTTTGTTTCACGTCAAGGATACTGTAGTGTTCTGAATAAACAAAAGACTATATTTACACGTTTGTGAGGGGCAAGCAGTGGCGGTCGGATGTTATAGACTGTAAGCTACCGCTTCGCGTTTGGTGCTTAAAAAATCGCTATTGTAAGACCTACTTTTTCACCTCCCAAAACTCCGTCCAACTCGACAGGGTATTTGCTAGTCATTATATGGCTATTAATGGAATATTAAGTATTTGAAACCATTTCATTAGGTACTTTCTGAGAAGACAGATTATTAAATTCGAAAACAGCTTCGCGCTGAACACTTGTTCGACAAACACATCCACTGCTACATCCGGTTGTCTGTGAAGGGATAACTGCATGCTTCAGTGAACTAGTTAGCTCTGTTGCATAGTGGAGAAACATGGTCATTGCGTGTAGAACATAAACATCTGTGTTCAGACCGATATCTAGTAGGCATTGCATGAGTCAGGTAGGACAAATGGGAGGAGCGGTCAGGTTAGCCGAAGAATAATATAGCATCACTATCGCGCACATCATCATGCGTTCGCATTTGATAGATTCCAGTTCCACTTATTGTCAAAAGAGTTTTCTCAGAGTGAGTTGCATTGCAAATCAGGTTGAATGTGGAAGAAGGCTAAGACCCACTAAACTTTGATCTGGACTAAAGCGATGAAATTCTAGGTCAGTTTTCGCAAGCATGAAGCTCTACTCACGTGATATGATTGAGGGTTGTAAATAGCGATGCTGTGCAAACTAAAAAAATTCTGCATATACCGGGTTCGCTCCCGTTCAATATCCCTGATTTGGCAACACTCCGTCACCAATAGTATCACTACGGTCGGGGTGTGTGAACTAGGTTGCAACTGTAACGGGATGTTTGACCCAGTCCAAAAGCCGTATGTTTGATGAACTAGACAGCCCCGAAATCCAATGCGGTTTTCACACCCCCACTCCGCTATGTTTTAGGTTAGGGTTTTTCTAGCCACAGCTCCTGTTGTGAATCCCACAAACAGTCCTCAGATGTAGCTTACGCACCCTAGCAATATCCCGTCCAAACATTGCTTTGCTTGAAAAGATTTGTATACCATGATTCAGTCTGAATTCCGACAAGTGTGGTTTGCATACACTTGTGGCACGCACTGTGTGATGGATGGTCTGGAGTAGCGCCGGTGAGGTATGACTGAAAGTGTGCTCTAGACTTGGGATTATTCTGGTCGAGAAGATACCTGACTTTCAGTTTTCACGATTATTCCCCTTGCACTGTAGTTTGACAGTTTTGTGGTTGTACTTCGGTTACCCATTTCCTCAGGTAATTAGGACGGCGTAAATCGATATGTTCAAGATAAGGGTAAAGGAGATAAATGAACTAGGTCTGTATGAAAAGGGCTTAGACAAACGAGGGTCACCGTTTAAAACACTTTACCCTATCACTTGGTGTCGATCAGGTTTTTTACGAGGTTTCCAACAAGGAGAACGAGAGCATGGATCAGAGTTTTCATACTCCAATACCGGGTCTANTTCTGACTACCCTTGACTTCATTCCACCCCTTATCTGCATCGGTAAACTTCGCAGATCCCGTGACCTGAATGACATACCCCGGTCATCTTGATCTATGAAGGACAAGCACCGGGTTCAATGCGTTTCCGTCACAGCCTAACACTGCCTAACAACGTTCTTGATTCGTCAATAAATCTCTTCATCGTTTTCATTGAAAACAAAGTTTACCGAAGTTGCGATGCTTCAACACCGTCAGACACTATTAAGAGGCAATGCATAAACAACCGACTAACATTTTCTAGTCATTCAGATAGCACTTTCCTAAAAAAAAAAACAGCTAAACATACGCATTTAAGTTTACTTTGTTGGTACCATAAACGTCCAACACACCAAAATCAAAAGAAGTGCGTTTTTACGAACAGGAGTTAAATTGGTTTTCTCTCGTCTACGGGGAATATTTAAGGGGTCAACAAATAACGAGATCAACGAAGAGTTCAAAACATACAAGTCGATTCGAATTTCGTTTTTCAAAGCAATATATCACATTTGCACCCATCTGGGAACGACCTAGCGCTGCTTATTACACGAACAAACTATTTGTTTGTCAAAATTGATCACAAATCTACCGAATGTTATATGATTAGACGTGAATTGGCGGTTCTTTAGAACGACTTATCGGTGTCCGAGGACATGCATCCAAATGCGCCACTGCTGCGAATCTCGTGGACTGGCAGCGCCCGGAAACGGGGCTAAATCGTCGGGTCAGCCCGCGAGTTGTTCGTGACCGGAAGTGGTGCAGAGTGACTTAGTCACGGTGCAGGTGTTGACCCGAGTGAACATGACGAACTGACCACGGCACATAGAAAGTGCTATCATGCTTCACAAGCATGGCAACCCCACAAAACAAGTATGCACATAGCGATTAAAGTATTGATACGTCAATCACACGCATCGATTCTGCCAGATTATTTGCATAATGCAGAATGTTTTCAGCAGCTATGTCGTCAGTCAGACGGTGTGGAGTAGAGATGTGAGTGTTACGTATCACTTCTTGAATCGCAGTTTGTAAAAGTTATCGTATGCGAATACCCAATTATAATAATCAGTGCAACCTCGACGCATTTGTTATCTGATTCGAGGCATCATGTAAAAGCCGTCTTGTGCCTTGACCAGATACCTGTGGTCGAACTCCGCGTTCAGCCTTCAAGCTCGGACGAAAAGTTACGAACAACTCGAAGCGATAGATTAATTCGTTTAGCAGTCTTGCGAATGCGGGTATCCAGGTCGTTGTGGGTGAGCATTTTCCCTTGTTCCAGCACCGACAGCAGTAACCTATGTGCCACTCTTTTGTTTTGACAAAACCAACACCCTGATGATCGTCATTTACCAAACGTTTGCGAAGTAAGTATTGACTTGTGTTATATAACCAAATAACACTTAACACATCTGAGGCATGATATGGAAAACTACGAAACGCGCTTTGATGACAACACACGGAGTGGGAGTTAGTGGCACTTCGCACCGCCACGGTAAAACTTTTCAGAATAAATCAGCTTGGAGTCAAAATCAAAATCTGCTGGGTTTCTCTGTACGGTTCCGAGTTATATAATCATCATGCTAACTCCGACGAATCTGTGTGGCTTGATGCCCCAAAAATTACAGAAAAAACATGGTAGGGTTGACGGCATCTGCACCACATTGGTTGATATGGTTTCATGTAGCAAAAGAAAGCCACCTTGTCAATTTTCTCACGCATCTAGTTTTCTCCAGTGGTATATATATATTTGAAAATTTCCAGCCATTTCATCATTGGGCGACCAGATTGACAGTCCAGAGAGATAACCATCAAAAGTAGAGCACGGAAGTGAACAGTGAATGATGGCACAACTCTTCTAAAGCCTTGTTAAACTCAAACAACATAGTCGAACAATCGATAGGGGATAAGTAATCGAGCCATTCAAATAAGCGACAGAGGAAAAAATACAAACAGGTGTGGAAATCTGACCGTTTAGTCGATTCGCTTTTTCGTGTGCCAAACACTACATTCGTCTTTGAAACTGTATTTGGCGGGAACATCTGACTCGAAGAGGATGGAAGAACCGTAGTTGGTGGTGCCAGTGGAGGAGGTGGTATTGCAGGCATTCGGTGATTCTGGAACCAATCAGCAGGTATATTAGGAACTTCACTGAAAACTGATGTGACCAGGCTGCGTCGTGAATTACTTGATGCAGTCCACTCAAAATCACCGAAAGGGGATGAATCCTGTGGAGCGGATGATTTGTCTTGATTCAGCGGTCTACTCGCAGACAACCCTGACCCAGTGACAGTATGATTGGAATCACAATCTTTCAAACGAAGTTCAGCCAACGCCTCGTACGGAGCAGCTTCCGAAGAGGAAACGGAAGAAGACGAATCTCCCTGGGCCGAGTCAAAACCAGACGTTTGATTCGGACAGGCAACTGGCGGAAAAGCCTGCGGTTGAAGTGGGGTGGAAATCATCAAATCAAGTGATCAATTTAAGCATCTCAACATGAGCATTTTGAGAACCTACTGTAGATTTATTCAAGTGTTACACGATCGACAACTATATTCTCATTTGGAGAAGAACAGATTTAGCAAGTAAATGAACAAGTGAAAGTCATGATAGTGTTTACTACAAAAAACCAAAAGATAAGACTGTGCACCGTTTAAACAGGAACTATCTGATACCGAAGAACTGGCAGAGGAAAACTAAACGAAAATTCCACGAAAAAATTCAGTTCGAGAGAAATAAGTTCAGTTCGGTTCAGTTTTTCAAACCATTAATCATGCACTTTCGTGCGCTAGCTGTATCTACATCATCCACACGCTCAATATTGAAACTTTTATTTGCACGTACCTCTGCTTATCGTAATTCTGTTTTGCCATATCTAGCAAGCCTACTCATAGACAGGGACAGAATTTCCACAGAATTGCGCAACCGCTTCCTTCATTGACAAACACACCCCATAGCTTTCAGGTTCATTATGTACTGATTTTGTAAATTTTAATCCACAAATATGACGTAATTGCTGAAAATACACTCATCCGGATGCATCAAGCTACTACTGACTTCACTTGACTTGGTTGCTGTTTCATGGACGTCCATCTAGATGAAAGAGCAGAGTGAAGATCGGAATGTTGAGAGCAAATTCAAGCGGAAGATAGAGAATTCGTGTGGATAGGGAGAAATAGCCGGTTCACGTTTGCTTGCATGAGAGATCGAAGGTTAGTGAAACGCAAAAGTTCTTTCAATTTATGTCCGGTTATGGTTATGGTGATACTGAGGTCAAGGTCATTGGTAATCATAAGACTACAATGCCTCACGAGAGCAACGAATATCATGAAATTGAATCAACTCATTTTTCCGTTGAACTACAACCGTATTTCACCATGTGCCCGTACAAAGGGAGCCGATGAATATCAACGACTATGCCCACAACATTTTTCCATACATAGGCAAACCACTCCATGAGCATGTGGCTGCTGCTTCTGAATATCGAGACAATGTGTTTTCACCATTTTCCTGGGATGGGGTTTCTAGCGTTCCACATCCACAGAGCCGATGTCCAGGATTATTCGGTTTAGATAAGCTATAAGTGAAAATCCATTTGGTTTTTTGATACGACTATGAATCATCCTATCATCAAATCAGATGAAATAATTGTTCAAAGTGTAGTCTGGCGGATTGAAGTCTTATGCTGAAATTGTTTTAAGTAGACGCCATAAGCCGGATGAATGGATGATTCGAATTTGAAAAGATCAGTGTTCTAGGTGTGACTTCGTAGTTCAGTTGATAGAGCATGTCCTGTACAGGAAAAAAGAACGTGAGCGGCATTCATACGTGGGCCCAAACTCCATAGAGGCTACTGGTTTTTCACAATTTCAATAAACTAAATAAACCTAAATGAGTTAGTTGAGGAGAAATTACATAAAATCAGGATGAGGTTAACAGCATGGTGAGGGAAAAAATCAAATTTCCATAGGGCAAATCGAATCGAACTCTAGCAACAATTTTTCCGACGCTTAGAGGTCATGCAACTGGAGCTTATGCGTATCACCACTCCACACTCTACGAACGTGGTTGGGTCTTGTTACCAAGAATATAGATCTATAGTCTGTTGAGATCCTGATCACTTTCAGAATGATAGCCTGCATTTGTTTTTCAAGCGAATTCGTTACAAACCGGATCAAGATGAACTGAGCTGAAAAGAGTTTGCGTCATCATTAATCATGAGTGCCAATGTATGAACAAATAAACAGATGTGCTCAACCACTTCCGATACCAATTCGATTCGTTGTACGAAAAAGAAAATCACGAAAACTTTGTACAGAAAGGGAACTGTAGAATTCATTTTTAACCGATTTTGTGATGTGTAACCCTCCCAAAGAAACAGACCGGATTCAAATCTTTGGAAAGCCGTTGATTTCGTGTGGTTCAAGACTACACATTTTTTCATTACATTAAAAAGAAATGCATACGTGGACAGAATTGATATTAGTCATTATTTTCACGTGCTCTTATGAGCTATAGGCGCAAATCATCACTTACTTTTGACTTTGACTTTTGATCAACTAACTCCTGCGGGAGGATAAGTCGGCTTCCTGGATGTCTCTAATGATGGCGGTCCATGCATGAGGATCGGTAGCAAGGTTGACGCAGTGCAAAACCCAGTTCTGGTTCCAGTTACGAATTCCATACGCGGATTGAAGACCCAGTAATTCCAAATCCACCTTGATTGTACTACTCCAGGTCTTCAATTGACCACCGAGTCTGCAACTCCATCCACGGCATAGTGCGGGGGCCACAGCCTGTCGCCAGAGTTGAGTGTCGGGTCTTCGGAGCACGGCCAAACCACTGAAGGCGCCGGCGTTGTAGCATTTGTAAAAGCTTGTCAATGTTCAAGCAGCGCCGTCGAACCTCATCATTGGAAATCCGATCTCTCCAGTTTACTTTCAAGATGCGGTGTAAGCACCAATGGTTAAAGACTTCGAGCTTCCTTGTATCTTGTACTCTTAACGGCCAGGTTTCACCACCATAAGTGAGGATGGGGCGGATGGAATCCTATTGTTTAAGCTTATTTCGCATCGATTCCACAACGGTTTGAGGAGTTTTAGGAAGGCTCTTCTAGCTGCATCTACACGGAGTTGGATTTCATCCTTAGCCTGGCCGTTTGGTCTTATCGTAGAGCCAATATACTTGAAAAATTCGATTGATTCCACAAGCTCCGTGTTAATCGAGAGGGGTTGCGTCGTGGTAGAAGTTTTGGTCGAAAATGTCTTCGTTTTCGACGTGTTGATCTCTAGCCCGATAGCTTGGGCAAACTGATTTGTACGATTGACAAAAGGCTGGAAGTTGTCCATGCTGTCTCCAAGTACGACGACATCATCCGCAAACTCGAGGTCCGCAATCCATGTATCTGGGCCAAGCTGCACTCCAGGGTAGTCGATGAGTGCTTGTCCCATTATCCAATCTACGGTGTAGTTGAATAATACCAGCGGTAGGAGACAACCTTGCCTAACTCCAGAGCTTAGGGTGAACTCAGCCGATTCTTCTCCATAAGTACGGACGCGT